TGCGCGACTCAAATTAAGTATGTTGCAACTTTGCGCGACCCAAATTAGGTATGTTGCGACTATGCGGGACCCAAATTAGGTATGTTGCGATTTTGCGCGACCCAAAATAGGTATGTTGCGACTTTGCGCGACCCAAATTAGGTATGTTGCGACTGTGTGCGACTCAAGCCTCTAGCGGGATGATAGAGTTTTGGTCGCAGAAAGTCCATTTTGGTCGCAACATGAGTCGTGGACCTCAACCGAGAGAGGAAAAAAAAAGAAATTTTTCTAATTTCGTTCGAAGCATAAAATGAAAAGTCCTTTAATGTAATATATCATTTGACTTGTTCCACTAATTAAAATGGGAAGTAACCCATTTTGGTTCAAAAACAAAATAAGCCTGCTTGCTCACTATGTTTGCTCGAAGTTATACCAAAAATCAACAGTTTCAAACCAGACTTCTCGATAAAATTTTGTTGAAATTTTTTATATGTCGTTCAAACCACCACTGAAAAAGCTCTACGATGATATATAACTCGGCCCAATCCGAGGTTTTTGTGGAACTTGACTTTGCGTGGAAAAAGTAAAAAAACACCCGAAAACAGACTTCCTCTCCGTTTTCAATGGTCGGAACAAAAATCCACTATTTGATTCAAAAAGGCCCGCTCAGCGCATAAACTTTTTAAAGTTTTTTTTTAGAAATCACAATAAGTGCCAAAACTTTGAATTTCTTTCAAAGTTTCGATTATAATTTATAAAACAATTCAAAATGCAATTTCAGGCATGAGATTCCTAAATTCCGATCTACTGACAAGAAATAAACAATTTCATATTTACTGACGACAAAAATAAAAACTCTGAGACCATTCTTAAAAAATTAGCTCAGTGTTTGGGCGACAATCGTGCTCAAAAACTGAACTGCTTTCAGCATCAAAATCTGATGAAATCGATGAATCTTTTGGGCAATTTTTTTGGACGAGATTTTCCAATATCATTTCAAAAATTAGAAAAAAAAGCTCAAATTTTAAGAAGGACCATACCTGCATTATGAATGGCACTGAAAGCTGACGAAGCGGTTGTAATTTTGGACCAAATTTTTTTCATTCTTGAAAAATGCGTTGATGCAGTGGCGAAAAAATGATTTCCAGAAGTAGATCGATCGGGACTCGAACCTCCTACGTTCATTCCTATTGCAACGGCCATTCGTCTTTGGGGTCTGCCGACTGTGGACGAAGGCTCGCCTTCCGATATCATTTTTACGGTTGAAATTTGTAAAGGTAAATCAATTGAAGAACATCCGTATAGTAAACTCTTTTTTTTAAAGCTGTTCTTTTTTGACAACCTAAGTGGTTTTTGGCGTTTTCTGGGCTAAAAGTACATTGTAAAAGCGACCCAATTGTAAAACTGCTCGCATTATCTAATCAATATTTTAATCCTCCAATAAAATCGGGAGACTGAAGAAATGTGAAATAAGAACGGAACTGAAATTTTTTCAACTTCAAAGAGAAATGCAAGCCGCAAATGTTGTCTTTTTTAGATTCGTAAAACGTAACAAGAAGCAAACTTTATTACTCGGGGTCATAAAAAGTTAATGAAACACAAATTAAAAATCCCTATTTTCAAACCTTCATAAATAAAAAATATATGAGTGAACATGGCTTTTTGGTCGTTTTTTTTTTGAAAAAAAAAGTTGTTAAAAAACATACGGTTTTGCTTTTTGAGTCAAATAAATTGTTTCATATATGTTCACTTTGTTAGATAAATAAATGCTAGCTTCAAATAATTTTTCAAAACTTCTTTGTGGACTAAATAAGAATAGAGTAATTTTAAGGATTTTAGAGCATTTTTTTTCAGACGCTTAAGCTATCCTTCATAAGATTTGAAGTTTTTTCATAAAATGCTTTCTGTGGTTTTGGTGCATCAGATTTTTTAAAATGAGATATCAGCATTCCTGTTAAAACAAGTCGATATTCTTGCTCGTACCATCAAATTAGTTTTAAAAGAAAAGTCAAATTTTTGTTTTAAACTTGAAAAGAATGTAGAAAAAATTGAAACCTGGCTTGCATCTATTTGTCTTTCATCGAGAGTTGATAGTTCAAGGACACAAAATTAGCAAATCTTTTCTTAAGTAATGGAAATTGCAAATTTTTTTAAGCTAACCTGTCAAAAATTTAGCTTGAATTTCTAATTGAGGTTTTTTAAGCAGTTATATTAATTTTTCGAGAAATATTGCCACGCAGATCTTCAATGAAGCGATTAATCTGCAAAAAATTTGCACTTGTGAAAATTGCCATTTTGCAGAACAAAGAAAATTCCGTTTAAATACTTCCGTTTAGTGAGTTCTTAGAAAACTTGAGGCGCCAATTAATAACACAAAAAAGTCTGCCGTGAACAATTAAAAAAATACATGCTTTAAACATTTTTCAGCCATAAAAATGACATAAAAAACACTTGTCATTTAGTTTTTTTAAACGAGTGGAAAGCTCTTTGACCTTTAGAACATCTTTGAAGAAATTGATAAAAAATTTTCAAACCGACAATTTCGACGCTTTTATGAAAACTATTGGGTATTACGTACGAAGGTGGTAAATCAGTAAGATATAATGGACGCTAAAATAGTTCAAATTCCCACAGGACAAAAACAAAAAGATAATGAAAATTTCATAAACTCTGAAAAATTGGAAACGTCGTCACTGACATATTTATTCATTTTAAAATCAGTTTGCCTATAAATATTATAAGCTTTGTAAATACGCTTAAATAATTGATTTATAGTTATTTGAGCCAGCTTTTAATGATTTTTAATATCGTTTTGTAGAAACTAAAAAATTGATCCATTAAAAATAGCTGCTCTTTGGAGCTACAAATGACTTTATTTTTTTTTCTGAAGTGGGTTGGGCTTTTTTTCTCAATGAAATCAGTTTTGGTTCCAAATGGATAAAATAAGGGATGAAAAAATAAATGAAGCATAAAAATCAACCTCACAAAATTTGTATTTCATTAGCTTTTTATGACCCCGAGTAATAAAGTTTGCTTCTTGTTACATTTTACGAATCTAAGCACAAAAATCCAGTCAAGCATTAAAAACACTTCACCACCGCTCCCTTGACGGGGAGGACTTTTCAACCCTAAACGTGTCGCTGCCATGATGCATGATACTCCCTGACTCTAGTAATTATCTAGCAACTAAATAAGTTTTGACAAGAAAACTGTAAAATTAAAATTTCTACCACAAAGTTTCTACCTAAAAACTGATCTAAAAAATTTGAGACTGAAAATTGCAATCGATATATAAAATTCACTTTGCTTTTAATCGATCAAAAAATATTGCTTCATTATCCGGCAAAAAACAAAACAACCATAAAAAAATTGCAGTAATTGGAGTTGCAGAGCCAAAAAAAAATTAATACTCATTGAAGCATTATTTTTTTATCAAGCATCGTATCATCAAGCATTCAGCCAAAATAACATGTAAGACAATGGAGAAACTGGAAAGTTTGAAACGTGGGGGGAGTAGAAAAGACCAACAGTTTTCTTTAAAATAAAAAAAAAACAAACAAGAAATGAAAAAAAAATTATTGATTTTTTTACCAAAACTTTTGCAGTATTAGTTTTTTTAAAAAACATTGCTTTTTTTGGCGAAGATGAATTAAGTGTAAAAACCTGGAACAAAACTTAGTTTTTACTAGCTAAAATAAAGTTTTTTTTCACAAGAACTAATGGTTTTATAACTCGTTCTGCGCCTTTTTGAATGTTTTTTCAAATAAAATTTTAAATATTTTTAGAAGCAGTCAATTTGTGCATATGGTGCAGACATTTCTTTCTAATTTTAGCTTCGTGGTAAGTGTGTTTCATTTAGTTATTGTCTTTTTTTTATTAATGTTCTTTTAATTTTCCAGATTTATGTTTGATTTGAATGGTTGGCGACCCAAATTAGGTATGTTGCGACTTTGCGCGACTCAAATTAAGTATGTTACAACTTTGCGCGACCCAAATTAGGTATGTTGCGACTATGCGCGACCCAAGTTAGGTATGTTGCGACTATGCGGACCCAAATTAGGTATGTTGCGACTTTGCACGACCCAAATTATGTATGTTGCGACTTTGCGCGACCCAAATTAGGTATGTTGCGACTGTGTGCGACTCAAGCCTCTAGCGGGATGATGGAGTTTTGGTCGCAGAAAGTTCATTTCGGTCCATTTCGGTCGCAACATGAGTCGTGGACCTCGACCCGAGAGATGAAAAAAAAAGAAATTTTTCTAATTTCGTTCGAAGCATAAAATGAAAAGGCCTTTAATGTAATATATCATTTGAAATAGTCCACTAATTAAAATGGGAAGTTACCCATTTTGGTTCAAAAACAAAATAAGCCTGCTTGCTCACTATGTTTGCTCGAAGTTATACCAAAAATCAACAGTTTCAAACCAGACTTTCTCGATAAAATTTTGTTGAAATTTTTTATATGTCGTTCAAACCACCACTGAAAAAACTCTACGATGATATATAACTCGGCCCATTCCGAGGTTTTTGTGGAACTTGACTTTGCGTGGAAAAAGTAAAAAAACACCCGAAAACAGACTTCCTCTCCGTTTTCAATGGTCGGAACAAAAATCCACTATTTGATTCAAAAAGGCCCGCTCAGCGCATAACCCTAGCAAATTTTTTAAAGTTTTGTTTTAGAAATCACAATACGTGCCAAAACTTTGAATTTCATTCAAAGTTTCGATTATAATTTATAAAACAATTCAAAATGCAATTTCAGGCATGAGATTCCTAAATTCCGATCTACTGACAAGAAATAAACAATTTCATATTTACTGACGACAGAAATAAAAACTCTGAGACCATTCTTAAAAAATTAGCTCAGTGTTTGGGCGACAATCGTGCTCAAAAACTGAACTGCTTTCAGGATCAAAATCTGATGAAATCGATGAATCACTTGGGCAATTTTTTTGGACGAGATTTTCCAATATCATTTCAAAAATTAGAAAAAAAAGCTCAAATTTTAAGAAGGACCATACCTGCATTATGAATGGCACTGAAAGCTGACGAAGCGGTTGTAATTTTGGACCACATTCTTTTCATCCTTGAAAAATGCGTTGATGCAGTGGCGAAAAAATGATTTCCAGAAGTAGATCGATCGGGACTCGAAACTCCTACGTTCATTCCTATTGCAACGGCCATTCGTCTTTGGGGTCTGCCGACTGTGGACGAAGGCTCGCCTTCCGATATCATTTTTGAAATTTGTAAAGGTAAATCAATTGAAGAACATCCGTATAGTAAACTCTTTTTTTTTTTTTAAAGAGTAAAGCTGTTCTTTTTTGACGACTTAAGTGGTTTTTGGCGTTTTCTGGGCTAAAAGTACATTGTAAAAGCGACCCGATTGTAAAACTGCTCGCATTATCTAATCAATATTTTAATCCTCCAATAAAATCGGGAGACTGAAGAAATGTGAAATAAGAACGGAACTGAAATTTTTTCAACTTCAAAGAGAAATGCAAGCCGCAAATGTTGTCTTTTTTAGATTCGTAAAATGTAACAAGAAGCAAACTTTATTACTCGGGGTCATAAAAAGTTAATGAAACACAAATTAATAATCCCTATTTTCATACCTTCATAAATAAAAAATATATGAGTGAACATGGCTTTTTGGTCGTTTTTTTTTGAAAAAAAAAGTTATTAAAAAACATACGGTTTTGCTTTTTGAGTCAAATAAATTGTTTCAAATATGTTCACTTTGTTAGATAAATGAATGCTAGCTTCAAATAAATTTACATTTTTGTAGAGTAAAATATAATAGAGTAATTTTAAGGATTTTGTAGCTTTTTTTTCAGACGCTTAAGCTATCCTTCATAAGATTTGAAGTATTTTCATAAAATGCTTTCTGTGGCTTTCTGGAGTATTTTCATAAAATGCTTTCTGACTTGCTCGTACCATCAAATTAGTTTTAACAGAAAAGTCAGATTTTCGTTTTTAACTTAAAAAATAATGTAGAAAAAATTGGAGCCTGGCTTGGATCTATTTGTCTTTCATCGAGAGTCGATAGTCCAAAGACACAAAATTAGCAAATGTTTTCTTAAGTAATGGAAAATTCAAATATTTTTAAGCTAACCTGTCAAAAATTTAGCTTGAATTTTAAATTGAGGTTTTTAAGCAATTATATTAATTTTTCGAATAATATTGCCAGGCAGATCTTCAATGAAGCGATTAAACTGCAAAAAACTTGCAATTTTGAAAATTGGTATTTTTGCAGAACAAAGAAAATTACTTCCGTTTAGTGAGTTCTTAGAATACTTGAGGCGCCGACCAATAACACAAAAAAAGTCTGCCGTGAACGATTAAAAAATAACATGCTTTGAACATTTTTCAGCCCAAATAAAACACATAAAAAACAGCTGTCATATAGTTTTTTTTAAACAAGTGGAAAGCTCTTTGACCTTTAGAACATCTTTGAAGAAATTGTTAAAATTTTTCAAACCGAGAATTCCAACGCTTTTATGAAAATTATTGGGTATTACGTACGAAGGTGGTAAATCAGTAAGATATAATGGACGATAAAATAGTTCAAATCCCACAGGACAAAAACAATCAGATAATGAAAATTTCATAAACTCTTAAAAATAGGAAACGTCGTCACTGACATATTTATTCATTTTAAAATCAGTTTGCCTATAAATATTATAAGCTTTGTAAATACGCTTAAATAATTGATTTATAGTTATTTAAGCCAGCTTTTAATGATTTTTGATATCATTTTGTAGAAACTAAAAAATTGGTCTATTAAAAATAGCTGCTCTTTGGAGCTACAATTGACTTTAATTTCTTTTCTGAAGTAGGTTGGTTTTTTTTTCTCAATGAAATCAGTTTTGGTACCAAATGGACAAAATAAGGGATGAAAAAATAAGTGAAGCATAAAAATTTGAATGATTGGCTACTAAACTGAATGCGAAGACAATTTTTTCTCTATTTAGCGCAGCAAATTTAAGTCGATAAAGTATTCATTTTTTGACTGCCGTAATAACAGAAAGAGCAATCAGCGTGTATAAAAAATTAATGAATTCCAAGCTAACAGTTCGCATTTTTGATATCAAATTTCATATGTTCCGTGTTTTCATTCACGGTCTAGTTAATTTTTTATTTGGCGCCCATAGGTGCAAAAAGGGCAATACAGAAATGAGATCGATAAGTCAAAACCTGGTGCAGTATTGTCTTTTTTTTAATTCTCAATTTTTACTTTCTACCCTGAAGCATCAGGTGATGACAGTCACATTCGAAGGAAAATCAAAGTTGAATTCATCAGTCTGTTCAAATCAAAGGCTAACATTTCCTTTTTCTGACATTTTTATCAATTGGTTGTTCCCTCTCACAAATTTAAATTCTCAGCTGAAAAACCACAACAACAACAACAAACAAGATACAGCGCCAAAATTCAAAAAAAAAATTGCCAAAGTATTCAAAAAAATATTACCAAAATGTCAAAAATGTCACAAGGACACTTTTTACTCAGCTTTTGTTTTTTACTCGCAGCAAAAGTTTTCTGAAACTTGACATTAAAAGGAGTCAATTTAAATCCAGAAAAAAATTGTCTCTGTGTCGATATCGTTTCATAAGCGTGAAGCGTTGCAATTTTTTGATGCTGCAGATATGATTGTTTTCTGATTAAAAACTGCAGAGTGGACATGACACTTTTAAGGTTCTGTTGGTTTATAAGCTATTGTTCAATGAATACTTGTAAAAAGACGCTTTTAGAGATATCATCATACTGCGTTTATAACTGACACCAGAATATTGTTAATATTAGAAACTTTTAATGTTTGTGGTTGTGGTTTTTTGAATATCCGCCCCCGCCTCTCGAGAAAATTCTAGATCCGCCCCTGGTTGTACACAAATTTCATCCATTTTTTGAAACAAACCTTGACTTTTGTTTTTCGGCGGCATCGATGATTTTTAACAAAGTTATATTGTTATATAATCGCAATTCTTAGTACAAAGATACTTTGAGTATATTTGAGTCAAAATTGCGGGAAACTGAAGCGTTTTTGCGGGATTTTAACTTTTTTGTTTACCCAAAAAATTTAAATGTCAAAAAAGGTAATCATTTTTTTCGGCTGGCCAATAAAATGAAGAATTTTTTTTGCATCAATCAAGGCAAATCAGTTGCGTCTTTGAATTAATCAAAAGAAAGACAAAACCATCAATGTAACCACGGGTGGTTGAAGGTTATCACCAAGGAGAGGAATAATGAAAGCTACAATGCGTCAGTTTGGACAACGCTTTATTTTTGCCCACTTAATGTACGAAAAAAAAATCAATCAATAACACAAAACAATTAATTTATGCGCATGTTTAAGTGCTTGGTTTAAAAAACACTAAATAAGCTTTTATTTTTTTTGTGGGTATTGCTCTCTATTTTATCCACAGTCATCAAAAATAAGGTGAATCAATTGAAAGAAATTGAAGAGAGATTATCGTAAATGATCACTGATGACCTCCCCCCACCGAGGTAATCACCCTTTAATCACCCTTTATAACAAGACAGCTTTTGAGGGGCACCCACTATTTAGAGGGGTACCTTAATTTCTATAAAGGCAATTATTTTGAGATATGTACTCACAGTTGCATCGCTAAGTGCTGTTTTTTTTATTCCCATTTTATTTCAAAAATGAAGCGGATTGATTGAAAAATTATCACAATTTTGAATGAAAACTTCAAAAAAACTGAGGCGTTTTCTTGGGGATATTAGAGCAAAATGTTTTATTTTGTTTTCGACTGGTCTACGATATATATTTTCTCCATTAAAAGTAAAAAGGTTCTTTTTTTAAATTTATCATTAAGAGCAAAACCATCGATGTAAAAAGAGACGGGTGAAGGTTATCGCGGAGAAAAAAATGATGAAATCTACAATGCGTCAATTTAAACAGCGCTTCAAAATTTGTCCACTTAGGACAATAAAAACAAGTCAAACAATAACAAAAAGTACAATTTATGGTTATGGTTTGGTCAGTTACTTTGTTAAAAATCAATGCAAAAAGCTTTTTTTGTTCAAGGTATTGTTTTCTAATACAGAGAGTTGTTAAAAATAAAGTGTTGCTCTTATATGAAATGAGGGGATTTGCGTTTTGCGTAGTAGGAGGCTAGTTGCCCTACTAAAACCCTTTCATCGCAAAGCAGCCTTTGGTGCGCTATTTGAACTCTAACTTCTAAAAATGCGATTGTTTAGTTTTTTGTACTCACAAGTTTGTGGCTTTTTGCACTATCAACTTTGGATGATTTTTAAATTCCAATTTATAATAACAGTAGAGCAAGTTGTGTTACAATTGTACCATAATCACTCAAAATTTTGAAAAATAAGTAATTTTTCTAGAAGCAGCTTTGCAAAATAAAACTGGAATAACTTTAACGCCTCAAGGACAGGCGATTTAACGCCACATGGAAAAATTCGGATCCTGTCATGCGGAACAGCTACGAGCACTTGTTAACACATCAAAGGCTCAATTTACATTACGAGGCCAAACTGTGCATTGGATAGGCGCACAACTTTGTGTCTGTATTCCAGAGACCAGTCTTTAAACATGTTAAAACTTTGTCGGAACGATCAAAGAAAACGAAAGAACAAAAGAAAAACAAAGGGAGCATCCTTGTAGCGGAATCCAGGTACAATTCACAAAATGCACAGTTTGACATCGTAATGTTATTTCTGAAAAAAACTTTTTTTAACAGTTTTTAAAACTTTTTTTACTGTTTTCTGCTGTTCTTTGTTGCATGTCAAAGTTACTTTTCCCATATGCTCAAATGGTTTTCAAACCATTTTTCGTGAAAACACTGTTCCCTGAAAAAAGTGTTTTAAAATGTTCTCTGAAAGCTTTTTGTTGCTACAAGGAAAAAGGTAATTTATACTTGACATTGCGAATGAATCTTGTTAATCTGACAATAATCTGCTTTACCGAGTCACTTAAAATCTGCTAGTGTAGTATTTAACTAGCATTCAGTTATGTATGCTAGTTAAATACTACACTAATGATTTCATGTTTTCAACTAGATCCACTAGTTACCCACTAGTTTGAGTATTTGGCAGATGTGTGATGAACTAATATGACAAGTACCTTTGAGACAAAAAAACGAGCCCGTTGAACCTGAAAGACATTTTTTCTGAACAAATTGTCCTCCCGGGTTGACGTCCATAGAAGAAAATGCTTATCATACAGTTTCATATATGAAGTCTATGGAAAAAATGCTCATCATAGAAAATTCATACAAAATTTAAAAAGTGTTTTAAAAATTTTTAATGAACATTTTTGATCTACTTGCCTCTTTTGAAGCTTTCTGGTCATTAAAAAATGATTTAAAATTTTTTATGAAAAATTTTTATCATACAATCTTCAGTTGAAAAACGAAATTTCGAAACGAAATTTTTTTGTATTTTCATTTAGGGAAAAACTGCTTATCATACAATTTAATAGTATGGAAAAAATGCTTATCATACAATTTCATTTATGGAAAAAATGCTTATTTTGCTTCTTTCATACCCTTACTTTTGCTCTGTGAAATTGTATGAAAGAGTATGATAAGCATTTTTTTTCATGTATGAAAATTGTATGATAAGCATTTTTGTCAACCCGGGCTGCCTTTGACGGATCAACTAGCAGATGTACTGCTGTTCGACCTAGCAAATTAAAATATTGGACAAAATTAAGACCAGATTTAACTACAACTCGAAAAGTTCCAAAACAAAAATTTAAACTTGCTTGTCAAAACCTGAATGATTCAAGTTTAATAGAAAAAAACCTCAAATTAGTTTGTTTAGATTCTAAATTTTTGATTGCCTATTTTTTTTGTTTAGGTTACTCTTTCCCATATGTTCAATTGGTTGAAAAATTGTTTTTCTTGAAAAAACCTTTGGTATAAAATTCATGGAAAAATGGTGTTTGATAATTTTTGTTGTCACAAATAGAAAGTATTTTTACATTTTGAATGAATACTCTATGGCTGAAAACGAGATGGTTAATATTCTCGATGCAAGTATGATTTCTGTATGTATGCATGTTATAATTCTCTGTACTCACAGCTCTCTGTACTCACAGTTGGGTGGCTTTTTGTGTATAAACTTTGGATAACTTTTTAAATTCCTATTTATAATAACATTAGAGCAAGTTGTGTTACAATAGTACATAATCACTCAAAATTTCTAAAAATAAATTGTTTTTCTAGAAGCAGTTTTGCAAAACAAAAAGTAATCTGATATATATATATATATATATATATATATATATATATATATATATATATATATATATATATATATGTGTGTGTGTGTGTGTGTGTGTATGTATGCAAGCTTCTATGCAAGTAAGGATCCTCGTAAGTGTGCATTTATGTATGTATTTATGTATGTATGTAATTGAGTATAAGTATTTAAATATATGTATAAATAAATGAAAGTATATATTTTATGTATGTATGTATCTTTTTATGTATTGAGGAACATACATACATACATACATAGATAAATACATACATAGCTGAGTGGGGAAAAAAGACATCACAGGACGCCGTGAAACGTTTCTGTACAAATAAGATGGTGCCGACCTAGAAAACAAAACATACCAGGAGTAAGCAGTGGAGTGACCCAAAAAGTGACTCTGCGTCCCTGTACAGAAACGTTTCTATCAATAGATGTTGTCCATTTCTCTCTGTACAGAACGTTTCACGGCTTCCTGTGGTGTCTTTTTGTTCCGCACTCAGCTGTTTTCCCTCATCTTCTGTCATATTTGCTTTTATCATAACTTCTGACTCACAGGCTCCAAAGAACTTCGAGTTCCACAAGCTAATTCAGCTCATACGCATCTACAACTCTACTTGCTTCTAAAATTCTATTTGCTTCTCAAGCTCAACAGTACCCTGATGTTCACCATTTCCCCCTGATGCTATCAACCACTGCCTGCTCTGCTCGCGTTGTTTTTCAAAAGACGCCTTTTTATTTCCCCTTCAACTAGCAGCTTATCTTGGTTTGTATGTATGTGGAGCCGAAGTGTAGTCTAGTAAAAACCTTGATCTGCCAGCTCTAACGTCCCCTTCCGGTATTCTGTCATGATCGAGAGCTCCAATCTGTGGTCGCTGAATATATCTCGTCTCGCGTATCCAGTGCTCAGGGGAATCATTGTCTTCACCGCACCTCTTCTATTTCGGATCGGTCGCATGATCAATTAGATGGTTGTACGCTGCTGCCAACTGCATACAATGGCCTGCCCTCAGCCTTGCTAGCATAACAGCGTTTCTCTGGTTGGTCACGGTAGCTTCGACGCGCTTTGCTGAGTAACTGGCGTTTACAGCTGCGGTTTTAGAGTGTAATAGTTGATAGAAATTTTCATCACGGCTTTTTCACTCTTCAAAATAATTAATCGA